ATTACATGAGTTTCTTCTTCTCTGTCAATATTATGGTCTATCCTCATCTTCGTCAACACCTCCATCATGAGACCAGGGCTGACCGGTCGTCGGTAGAAGTTGGAATCAGAACTGAGAGGTTCCGGCTTCAACCCTACATCTGATCACTCACCATTTTTCTTCCGCTGTTTATAAATTAGTACCACTCTGGGAAAGAAAAAAAAACACGAGACCAAATACAATGCTAGCTACATGGTTGCTTTTGATTCTGTTATTAAATTAAGTCACTTCTGGTTGATGGCATGAAAGTGGAGATCATGGCACCATCACTAATTTCATGAAAAAAAAGCAGTAAAAGAAGTTGCTCGTGGTGAAAATTCAAGGCCAACCAACAAATTAACGGTTACAAACTCTCCTCTTTTAACTTTAACTTTCCATCCCCATCTTCATCGTAAATCTTTTCGGAACAGGGGAGAAGAGAGCACAGTTGGGCATTCAGCAGAACCATTGGCAGGGTACGGAGCTAATGCACTAAGTCTTGATCGACTATCGTCTGCGACTATTTCTCAGTCATTTAATGTTCATGCAGCTGAATGCACAGACATCTTCCGGATCAATAAACTGAACAAAATTATTCCAGTCGTACGCCCGATAGGGTCTAAATTCCATTTTCCTTGGATTAGAGCCACAACATGCATTAAGTCGATAAAAAACCGTTAAGTATATTTTCTTCATGCATTAACACCTGTCATGAATTTTGAAAACAGTCTCATATACAGCGAGTCAGTGGTTATTATTCACATCTAAAGCTGATAACATTGAAGGTACCGGATGGATCTGTTAGAAAGATCTGATATCGAAACAGAAAACAGGTAAGGATGAATTAGTTCGACATATGCGAAGGGCATTCCAACTATATCCCAAACCCATCAGTTAGCAGGTGGTGTTAGTCATAATCCGAAGAAAATCATCACACTGAACGTTTACTGCTGGGTCTACTCGTAGAACAGAGGTTGACGACTTAATGACTAAGTACGAAAATCCCGACGAACCAAAGTGAACGTCTTCAAGCAATAGAGGGAAAATATCATCACTTGCGCTAGTTCAATCAAGGCAATGACAGAAGTCATACTCGGTTTAAGGACGACGACACGTTATAATGATCATCATCATCAGCGTCTATCGATTCATTGTTCGACGACATGATATACAAGTATAGAAAATGGATTATGAAGCAGATGTCCTCGGTGTCAGCCTTAAAACCGATATTAAATACGTTTCATTTCCATTTCTGCACAAAATCAAGCATCGACAATACTTTGGTCGTTTATAGACGGTATCAGACTTCATCATGAAAATATACACGAGTTGGTGATATGGAAGGCAATCGTTTAGCCTGTTGTCAGGATAGTAAGCTGTCTTGCTTCAAAAACTGATTTTTACACACCTGCCAACTTCAAATACCATTTAAATCCTCTATCGAACGATTCACAGTTAATGACAGATGTTTTAGAAGTCAACAACAACAAAAGTTAACCATTTTTAGTTGAAGAATCAAACTGCCGATAATGCTAAGAGATGTCAGAGCGTATCGTTTCCACTTTGAAGGATGTGCAAGAAACATGTCTGCCTTTAAAGACGAGACAGAGCTACCTCAGCACTTCTATATTAACCGTCACCGCCTGGGAAATGCGTTTTCATCCTTGCTATTCAACATTGTTTTAAACACTCTTGTACAAACAGCGCTTACTGTGGCAAAAACGAAGCTTTATTTCAGAAGGAGAACATAGTTCCAGATATCCAGCTGAGATATATAAATGAACTTCAGTAAGCAGAGAGGTGGTACTGTTATAATGACTACTACGAAGAGCGGCCTTGGTCACCTGACGCTATTGCATGCAGCACACCTACTACATGCAGCCTATTCCTAACTTATGGATCTCAAACGTTACGAGCAAAGAGGACCCATCCGATGCAGATGATTCAAAAGAGCAACAATTAGGTAAACCGATTCAAGCCGGTAACGCATTTAATGTTGGCTATCTCATCTACAGCGATGGGAACATTCAGTTAGAATTATATAGGAGGATCGTCTTAACCTGTATTTGTGGATAACCTTAAGCAATTTCGGTAATTTCAGACTGAAATGAGAAGGAACCGACTTATTTGACAGAAATCCGCCTGTACCTCGCTTCTGCCGATCAGTGTTGTTGTACAGTATGGAGACAGTTGTTCGGACGACAGCTGAACGGCACACAACAGCGTAGGCTTAGATGCATAAGGAGACTTAAATACCAAGAGCAAGTAAAGATGGCTCATATGTATGTGTATATGAGACGTAAAACACGGTTCATCTCCTATTTTAGTTCTGTCACCTTTAGACGATAATCAACCGACACTTGTTTTGTTGCCC